CCGCTGTGTTCTCCAGGTACTGTCTTAGGTGCTGGGAGATGAACTCTTACCTCAAGGAGTACAGTCTGATTGGGGAGGGAGACATGTAAAGAACTTCTTATAATACAGGAATAAATTCTGCACTGTTCATATTAAAGGGGACAATGGAAGGTCAGTTATTGAATTTGTAACATTAAGGAGGGTGATTAGAAGAGGCTGAGTTTGACAGGAAGGAGACAGGTTAGGAAGCTGTTGTGGCAGCTGTTGTGAGAGACAGGTGGGGACAGGCTGGGGTTGGGCTGCAGCAGCTCGACAGTGCTGGTCCCGGGAGGCCATGTGCTCTGAAGCAGCATGAAGCTCCACCTGCCTTTCCCTGACAGCTAGAGAGTCTGCTGGAACAGCCAGTGATCTTCATTCCACCCTCCTGTCCATCCTGCACTCTCTGCCCACAGGCAAACTCTCCCACTCATGTTGTAAGACTCAACTCACAAATCATCTGTGGGCAGTCTTCTCTGCCATCCCCTTCCCTGTGTTCCCGAGCAGGTGGTCTCTGGGGGGCTTAGAAGAACAGCTTCCGAGGAAAGGTGGAGGTGTAAGCTGGATGGTGGGGTGTGGAGTGGTTGGGAGGTGAGTGTGTGGTGTTCTTTCCAGAGGTGGGTCCATAAGGCACGGAGAGAGGGTGGGAACAGAGGGGAAGTAAGGGGCAGGGACGTCGTTATAAAGGTAGGAGAGATTTTAGCATTTTTCCTGGCTAAGAAGGAGCCAATGGACAGGGGAATGAGGGTAAAGATACAGACAAGGAAGAGTCATCGTAATTGGAGTAAGATCTTGGGGGAGATGGAGAGAATGGAGTCGGAGGCAGAGGAAGAGCGATTTCTAGGAGAAGGGGACCTTCTTCCTCTAAGGGAGGAGACAGAAAGGATGAGTAAAAATTTGTGTATTGTCTAGGAGAGTGTGGTGGGATGTGAGAGGAGTTGAAGAGCGTGTGCCCCCTGAGACTCTGGGGGCCCCATTCATAGAGATTTGTTGGGAATGAGGTCCTCTAGAGTTGAGCAGTGCACAACCTAAGTAGCAGTATCCTGTGGCCTCAGCAGGAGCTGTAGCCTTTGTTCGTTTTATTACTGGCATACAGCATGACGGCTAGCAACTTATGGTGTGCAGTAAATATTTATTGAAGGAAAGAGAATGATAAAGGTGTAGAATACCATTGTGAGGACTGTAAGAGAAAGAATTTGTGAGCAACATGCAGGGCTCAGCTACAAATGTATAGAGATGACTCTGTGGCAGATGAAGACATTCGATTCCCCAGCGCTTGTTAACCTTGATAAAGGTGCAGGGAATGCAGATGGTTGATTAGGGCAGCTGGAGGACACTGCAGGACAGCTCTGGCAAAGGAGGGACATTCAGGATGGTGATGAGAAAGGGACTGAAACTGAAGCTGTGGAACTCAGGTTTGATGGGAGGAAAGAAAGGCCATATAGGTTGAGAAATTCGGGTGTCTGGCTGCAGAGGGGAGCTAAGTGAAGCTTCTCAGGACGGGGGTGGGAATTTCCATTCCTGATCACTTAGTCATAGAGAATGTTTGCCCTTTCCCTGTACGTGTCCCCTTGGAACCCACACGGTGTCGTGTGAGAGCAGGCAGTGTGGTGGACAGCCCTCAGGCCTCTCTGCTCCAGGGGCTGCAGTGTCCTGGGAGTGAGGGTGAGGCACCTTCTAGGCTAAGCCCACAGGAGTGGAGTGCACTGTTAACTGCAGATGTAAACTCCTACCATGAACACTGTGCTGAGTCGTCTGTTTACCGGCTCTGGATGTGCCCTCCACCCTGCTGCACACTTTGGTCCATGTCATTTATATTCACCAATGATGGGCTCCCTTGACTTCTGGCTTCTGGTTGGCCCTTGGCAATGGGATGGAGGGGTCAGAGGACAGGGGGCAGAGGGCCAGGGGCCTGGAGGAAATTCAGGTTGGGTGTCTGTTCCCACAGCTCCTTCCCTGCCAGGCAGTAGGATGGGGGTGGCTGCATCCTCTACAGCCCTAACTCTAGTCCTACTCCTGCTCCAACAGCTTTCTGGATTCCAACCCCCCTCCCCTATCCCACCCGTGCCCACCTGGTAGGTGATGGTTCCCCAGGACAGCCAGCACCTGCTGCCTCCACATTCCTTGTTGACATCCATGGAGCCTGTGTATCCCCCTGTAAATAGCCAGCATAATAATCTGTCCGCAGTGACCTTATCTGTTTCCTAAGGGAACCTGGGGCAGAAGAAGTAGATTATTTGTGGTATTGTATAGAACAGGGGTCAGCAAGCTGCCCTGGACCTGTTGGTGAAGTTTTATTGGAACACAGCCATGCCCATTCACTTACCTAATGGGTATGGCTGCTTTTGTGCTACAACAGCAGACTTGAGTTGCAGCAGAAATCAAATGGCCTGAAAAGCCTAAAATCTTTACCATCTGGCCCTGTGGAAGACAAGTCTGTTGACCCTGTGGAATGGAAAACACATGTCTGGCCTGAGGGCCAGCAGGCCTGAGTGGAGCCCTGCATCTATTCCTTATGAATTGAGTGACCTTGGCCAGGCCACTGTACCTGCCCAAACCTCAGTTTCCTCACGTGTAGAATAATAACCATCACTCACAAGTTATTGTGAGAATTGCAGTTACAATTAATCAGCCAATTTTTCAGGAGTTGCTATCATTTGAGGATGTGGCGATGTACTTCACCAGAGAGGAGTGGGGCCACCTTGACTGGGCTCAAAAGGACCTCTACAGAGATGTGATGCTGGAGAACTACAGGAACATGATCTTGTTGGGTAATGACTCGGTTTGAAGATAGGGCTTTGTCTGTGTGTTCTGAGTGTTTGCACAAGTCCTCAGTCCCTTATCTGCATTTCCAGAATCAGAAAAGGCTGTGAAAGCCAGGAGATTTTCATAACTCACTTGGCTACAAACCCTGACCTGAAGTCACCTGCCAGTGAAACCTGATTTCATCCCATAGGAAACAATTTATTGTCCTTATTTTTCCACCTTAGTGTGTGTATGTATGTACCTAGCCTCAGAAATATAGTGTGTGCGATTATGGGCTCAGCTCCAAACCTTATAGGGGATGGTACATTCTATAAAATATATACACCAAGTCACCCTTCTGAAGTCTGGAAAAATTCTGAATCCTGAAACACATCTGGCCCCAAGGGGTTTCAGATAAGGGATTGGGGACACTGAATAGTTGTGTTTTGTGTTAGAAGTGAGAGGCACATACTCTGTTTTCCACTCCCATCCCATCTTCCACATCTTCAAGACCTCTAGGAGTTGAAAAGATTATGGGCCATTTAGGTTCCAAAGGCTCACTTCTCATGCTCTTGAAAGCCTTTTTCTTTCTTCTCTCTGGAAATGGGTAAACTTCCTGTTTGCAAGACTAGCAAGTGCCCAGAAAATGATTTTAAACTGACTTCATTTCTGAATCTTCACTGTTTTCATCTTTCCAGAAGCTTCCTTTGTCTTACTCTGCTGCAGAGTTTTCCACTGTGGGAGTTGCTTCATTAAATATTGATAGATTTCTTTCTGGGGCTCCATGTTTGATCTCTGCACTGACACTCTTGGTAGAGTCTTGACCATCTGTTATGTGATTGTCCACGTACTTCTGGATTTTTCTTAATGTTAATTTTCCTTTTATAAACATTACAAAATGGTCAAGTGTCCTCAGGACATGAAAAATAAATTAAAAGTATTATAAGAGCATTCTTGAATACATGGAAGGTATAGAAAACTATGAATGGAAGCGGGAAATGTTCAGAGGTACCACTGTTAATATTTTGGATATTTCCTTCCAATCTTTTTTTTCCCCTATGTTTTTACAAAAGTAGCTGAGCGTAGTCTATGTGTAATTTTGTTATCTGCTTTAAACTTAACATTATTGCATCAGCATTTTCCCACAGATAAAGTAAATGATCATAATATAATTCCGTTGTATGTTCCATAATATTATTTCATTATTTTCCCATTGGAGGACATTCAGCTTGGCTTTGTTTTTGTTTGTTGGTTTGTTTGTTTATCATTTGCTATATTACAATGTTCCAGTGGATGTTTCTGACTATAAATCTTTATATGAATTTCTGATTATTTCCTAGGATATATTCCCAAATCTGGAATATTGGATTTAAAATAATCTTTATAGATTATTAAGTGATTTTTTAAACAAAATTTATACTATTTTGGTATCAAATAGTAGCATTCGAGAGTGCTTCTTTCACTGTATCACTGCACTCCTTTAGAAATATTACTAGTGCTAAAAGTAGTAATGCTTATCATAGAAATCTTGGAAAATACACCAGTGAATAGATAATAAAAGTCACCTGGAGGCCTGCTGCCCAGAAATAACTCCTGTTTATATTTTGGTTTACTTTTTCCTAATCAGCCTCTATGTCTACTTACTTACAGGTTGAGCATCCCTTATCCAAAATGCTTGGGACCCAAGTGTTTTGATTTTGGATTTTTTTGGATTTTGGATTCTTTTGGATTTTGGAATATTTGTATATACATAATGAGATAACTTGGGGATCTGACCTAAGTCTGAACAAGAAATTCATTTATGTTTCATATATATCTTTGAAAGTAACTTTATTTTTCCCTTGGGAACGCTGAGTCAACTGTGTGTTGGGCACCTGCATTTTGACTGCAGCTGATCATATGAGGTCAGATGTGGAACTTTCCAAATGTGGTGCCATGTCAGTGCTCAAAAGCTTTTGGTTTTTGGAGCATTACAGATTTCAGAGTTTTGGATTAGGGATGCTCAAACCATATTTACTAACTTATACCCACATACATATATACACACATAGTTTTTGAAAAAATTTTGATCCTGCTATACATGGGTTTTGTAGTCTGCTTTAAAATATACAGGGAGCATTTTCCTATTGTAATAAACATTTGAACACAGTGATTTTTATTATCTACCTAATACTTAAGCCTTCATTGTATTAATGTGCCATACTTGATTTAATCATTCTCTATTGACATTGTGTTTGCTTCTGGTTTTACACTGTTACGACATTGCTGAACATCTCTGGTATGTTCGTCTTTGTCCCAGTTGTTCCTTAGGCTATATTTCTAACAGTGAAATGACCATATCCAAGGGTGTGAACATTGTTCAGGCTTTCAGTAAAGATTGCCAAATGACTACAAAGACTGTGCCAATTTCTGTTCTCACCTGCCCTTTTGATTATTGTCCTTATCTCTCTGCTTGCCCCTGAGCCCTGGGACATCTCCCTGTAACTCACTAACAGCCACATCCCATTTACTTCTGCCTGAGTAGGATTTCAGTTTCCCAAACCTGAGGTGATCTGTCAGCTGGAGCAGTGGGACGAGCCCTGGATCCTGGATCTTCTGAGAGCTGGGAATAGGAAGGCTTCCAGTAGTGCCTACCCAGGTGGGTGAGGAAGAGACCCAGGCAGGTGGAGTCAGGAAGAGGAAGGGAAGTCATGTTCATGATGTCCTCCTGTGGGCCAGATACTGAGCCAGAGGTTGGGCATGTGTGATCCCACTTCTTCATCCCTGCTGCCCTGTGAGGGTGGGAGGCAGATCAGCATCCCCATTTCTCAGATGAAGCAACTAAAAGATGAAGACATCTCTCATACGGTCAGGAGTGGACAGTGGGATTGGACTTCAGGTCTGCAAAGCTCGTCCTCTCTCTCCTGCAGGGTAAAGTGCTTCTGAGGCAGCTGCTCTGGTGTTTTCCAAGTGACAGCTCTCAGGCCACCCAGATGCTCCTTTGTTCTACCATCTTTTCTTGTCCTTTCTCTCTGCTGTCTCTTCTTGCCTTGCCTCATTTTGCTTTTCATTTTCCCTCAATATTTCTTGACATATCTACATTTTCCTACTTACTATGTCCTGATGCTGCTTCTACAGTTTTTCACATCCCTCTCCTCCAAGTTTTCTCAATCTTGACACGAGTGACATTGTGGGCTGATTAATTCCTGGGGGTGGGAGGTCTGTCCTTTGCATTGTGAGATGTTTAGCAGCATCCCTGGTCTTCACCCACTCAATGCCAGTAGAAACACCCCCCCCAATTATGACAACCATACATGTCTCCAGATACTGTCAAAACCCCAGGGGGCAAAATCATGCCTGGTTGAGACCCATTGCTCTAGTCAGTTGGCTTTGGCCCTACATCCTTCTGGTTCTTTTTCTGTTCTATCGTATACCTTCTCCATTTTTAAGGCCTTGTTTCACCCAGAATTATTAAAAACATGTATCTTGGAGCATGAGATGCTACCTCTCCAACATTTATGTGACCCTCCTGAGTACCTGGAATAAGTTTTTCCAATAATGGTGATGGGTTTGTTCTCTCTTTCTGTGCCACATACTCTTGTTCATTTTCAGTGGGTTTGTTGATGCCAAGAGCTCTTTTTATCATGACAGTGGAGAGTCCTCCGAAATTGAGAATTGGGGCCTCTTGAATCTGATGATGTAAACAAGTGAGCACTTCTTAGCTTCATTTGGTTGTCTTATATCCTAATGGTAGGCTGCTTTTCCTTTTTTCCTCTGCAGTGAACAGGTCATTTACATCTTTTCTTGTTATTTGGTTAGGTTCTGAAGCCAGGTACGAGATGATAATACTAACTCCAAAGCAGAAAGTTTCTGAAGATTTAGAGTCATATAAGATGTCAGTGATGCAGGAAACAGCCAAGAAACTTTCAGAAAAGTTGCACAAATGTAAAGAAGTTGTGGAGAGTTGCACGCTTGCCCTTCCTACTGGTGGTGTTGACTACAACAAGGGCTTCCTTCAAAACCTTAACCTTCTTCAAGATCAGAATGCTCAAACAGGGTGGAAGCAGGGCAGATATTATGAGGATGGGAAACCCTTTGATCAAAGATCTTTGCTTCTGAGGCATGAGCAAATTTTTACAAGAGCAAAATCTTATGAATGCAGTGAATGTGGAAAAGTCATTAGGCGTAAGGCATGGTTTGATCAACATCAAAGAATTCATTTTTTAGAGAATCCCTTTGAGTGTAATGTATGTGGGCAAGCCTTCAAACAGCGATCAGCTCTTATTGTCCATAAACAGTGTCACCTGCAAAGCAAGCCATATAAATGTCCTGACTGTGGAAAGTGTTTCCGTCAGCTTGCGTATCTTGTTGAACATAGGCGGATTCATACCAAAGAAAAACCCTATAAATGCAGCAAATGTGAAAAAACATTTAGTCAGAATTCAACCCTTATTCGACATCAGTTAATCCACAGTGGAGAAAAACCCCATGAATGCCTTGAGTGTGGAAAAGCCTTTGGTCGGCATTCAACACTCATATGCCATCAACAAATTCACAGTAAACCGAACACCCATAAATGCAGTGAATGTGGACAGTCCTTTGGCCGGAATGTGGATCTCATTCAGCATCAAAGAACCCACACAAAGGAGGAATTCTTTCAATGTGGAGAATGTGGAAAAACTTTCAGTTTTAAGAGGAATCTTTTTCGACATCAGGTTATTCATACTGGAAGCAGACCCTTTAGATGTGACATATGCGGAAAATCTTTCAAGTGGCACACAAGCTTTATTAAGCATCACGGCACTCACAAAGGACAGATGTCTACATGATATTTACTGGAACTGATACCATTTAAAGACTAGAACTTACCGTGTAGTGCAAGTATGTATATAACTTGATTGCTTCATGAAATGCAATAAACGGAACTGACATGGTTTTTCTTTGGGGACCCTCTTTTTGTAGCCAAAGTTCTGCTGTAGTCAAGAATCACTTAATAGAAAATGTTAATAGGCTATTGTGTCTGCTCTCTCTGGAACCCTCCATACCCTTGTTGTCCCCAGTCTAGTTAAGGCAGAAGGGAGGCATAGAAGGTTTACCTTGTAGTTCTCCAGGCTGGGGACCGTTTCATGCATTGTGAGCAATTTAAGAATGCCTTTCCTGGGTTTCATAGAAAAATGACCTGCTAATGCAGACTTAAGAAAAACAAACTAAGGGCTTCTTGCTAGTAAATGGTGAGGAGGAAGAATTGCTAAAATTTATCCATAAAGCAAAATGAATGTGCTAGTAGATTCTAGTAAGAGTCCAAGTCAGTGTTTGTAGCACATTCTGTGGGTGCCCTGCCTATGTCCCTCCAGCCTTACCCCTTCCTGTGGGCTTCATCTGCCTTGCAGCGTCTGCACCTGTTGGCCTGTGGGGTAATAACACTTCCTGGGAGCAGCTCTCAACCAGTCCGTGATTGGAATTTGATAGATTCTGATTCTCCCTCCCCATGTGTGCAGAACATCTCTGCAGCATGTGTTTTACACTGTTTCCAGAGTTTGCTTGTGGAATTACACTCACTGGCTGTGGTAGTTGCCTCATTAGCTGTCTTCCCTTCTGTTTCTTCTACCAGTGTTGCAGCACCTTCCCACAGATAATTTATTCCTGGAGCCTCATTCGCTATGCCCCTCTCTGCCTGGAGAGCCGAAGGCTTTGAAGGCTTATGTATCTAAACAGAGCAGATGGCACAGCCTGAGCCAGTCTTCTTTGGGCTCAGCCTTGGATCTGCTTTTCATAGTTCCCCAGTCTCCACGGTGGTTTTGAGCCAGGCTTCTCTCTCACTGGCCTATTTCTTCCTCAGTCTGAAGTGTCAAGTTATTTCGTTTAGGGAAATCCAATTTGGCAACATACCACTTACCTATTTATGCCTGGAAATATATGACTTAGTTTTGCCTTTTGTGGAATGCAAACCTATGTGGAATCATACTCTGTTCTTGCCCTGAACGTGTGTTTTTGGGATTAATCCCTATTTCTGTGTAAGTGTGGTTCAGTCATACTCCCTGATACTTAGTATTCCACTGCAGGAGTATAGCACAATTCATGCATTTATTCTTTTGTCAGTGGGCTTTTAGGTGGTATCCAGTTTGGGATTACTATGAAAACGACTTGTCAACATGCCTTCTAGTTCTCTGTGAAAGGACCTAGAAATAAGATAACTAATTTTCATAATGGGGCATAAGATATTTACATTTTCAACTTTAAGAAGTAATGCCAAACTGTTTTCCATAATAAATGAAACAGTTTACACTCCCAACAGCAGTAGATGAGAGTTCCCACCACTCTACATCTTTGTCAGTACTTGTAGTTTACACATTTTTAAAGTTTTGCTAATCTGTAGGATGTGAAATAGTATCCAATTATGGCTTAATTTGCATTTCTGTTATTACTAATGTAACTGAGCATCTTTCTGTTTTAATGGGCTATGCTTCCCATTTTGTCTTTTTCTAATTTTAATGTTGTTGAATTTATTGATCTTTTCTAGGGAATGCTTTTTGAGTCTTGTGGTTTGCTATGAGTTTATCAAAAGTTTTTTTTTTCTTCCTGGGCAGACAGTGTGACTCCATTTCATAGCATATATTGTTGTTAAACATAGGTGAGTGCCTGAGTTCCAGCCAATGGAACATGAGTAGAAACAATGTATGCCACTTCCTGGTTTGGCTTGATAACTATCTCACATCTCCACGCTCTTTTCTGCCTTCCAGTGGAGGAGGTCAGAAATCCTCAGGAGATTTTTGGAAGCCATGTATTGAAGATGGCAGAGGTGCCATCAGATGTCCTCTTTGGAGGAGAGCCACTGCCGGTCATGGGCATTTGCTTCAAACTGTTACATGGGTAAAAAATAAATTTGTATTGTGTTTGAGCAACCATACCGTTTGGAGTCTATTAAAGCTGTTATCTTTAAGCTAACTTAACACATATTTTGTTTAAGAAATTTTTCATTTACCTTGCTGGGTGTGGTGTCTCAGCACTTTGGGAGGCTGAGGTGGGAGGACCGCTTGAGGCCAGGAGTTGAAGACCAGCCTGAGCAACAAAGTGAGACCTCATCACTACAAAAAGTAAAAAAATTAGGTGTAGTGGCCCATGGCAGTAGTCCTAGCTACTCGGGACGCTGAGCCAGGAGGATGGCTTGAGCCTGGAAGTTGGAGATTGCAGTGAGCTGGGATGGTGCCACTGCACTCCAGCCTGGGTGACAGTGAGACCCTGTCGTAAAAGATATTTTTTTTATTAATCTGAGGTCAGAACAATATCTCTATATTTTTTTCCAAATGACCAAAAGCATTTCAGTGAAGAACTGAATGAATAACCAAATTGGTCTTTCAGCAGTTCCTATCTAGTATGGGCTGAATTATTTAAATGTTGAAGTGCTAATCCCCATTACCTCAGAATGTGACTGTATTTGGAGATAGGGTCTTTAGAGAGGTAATTATATTAAAATGAGGTCATTAGTGTGGGCTCTCACCCAATATAAATGGTGTGAATTTCCTAAAAGAGGAAATTTGGATGTAGACCTACCTCTACAGAGGGAAGACCACGTGAAGAGACAGGGAGAAGATGACCATCTACAAGCCACGGAGAGAGACCTCAGAAGGAACCTGTAGGGACCGTCCCTGGGCAAAAATTGGCTTAAGCCCAGAGTCAGCGAAACTGGGCGTGCTCCTCCTTGGCGCCAGAGGTCAATAGGCCCGGGCACGGCCTCTTGACCACACAGAACTATTCCTCATGACAGATAGCTTTATGATAGATAACCAAGCGCCTGGAGTCTTGCAAACAAGCCAAGGCGTCTCATTGTCCCGCATACGGTAATGAGATAAAGAAGTTAAGATGCAAGAAGTTAAGATGCAAACGTCTGCTTCCCTTAAGCAATCGTCAGGAAGGAATGAAAATGTATTTTCCTCAGGGCGCCCAAGGTAGTCACGTGCCAGGAAGTAGCTGCCGGACAGAGAAAAGTATAAGAATAAAGCCACTGGTAGAATTCACTACTGCAGTCTTGTACGTCTTGTGTGTGTCTGTGTGTTTCTTTCTGTGTCCATCCCCCGTTCTGCAATCCGGGCCGCGACAGAACCAACTCCAGCCTCCAGAACTGTGAGAAAATTGATTTCTGTTCTTTAAGCCAGTCTGTAGGACACTGTTATGGCAGCCCTAGCAAACTAATACACCATCTCAGCAAACTAAGATGATTCTGGAAAGAGTCTGTCAAGCTAAATATATAATACTAATGTCTATTTCTCATGCAATAGGTAAATTATGATGGTCCTTATAATTCCCATGTCACTGGGTCTCACTCAATCACCTGGACAACCCCATTGTCCTCAATCCCCTGCAGATCCAGGACCTTAGCTCTCCTTGTTCTAGCTGGGTGACCACAGCAGGTACAAATGGGAAATGAGAAGCCTGTTCATGGGAAAGCAAAAGGGACTTTGTGATTCAAACTGGCTAGATAGCTTGAAGCCGAGCATACTTTAGGTGGCAAAGGGGAGCAGATCGAGAAATTTTGCTAAGATCCAGGAGAACAAATAAGAAGATAACTTTCTTATATTTTATTATATAAAAAAATAAGAAGCCCCTCTATAAAAGAAGAGGGGGTAGAAGTGGCCTTAATCAGAATTCACAACTGCAAACAAAGAATGCCAAAATGTAGATTTTAGGTCATGTAGGAATGTCCTTTTCCAGCAAAGCAGGCAGGACTGTGTTCTCAGCAGCATTTCTTTTATGTGTTTCTCTGAATGGTGTCGCCTCCCATATGAGGGCCAGGTCCTCAAATGCAGTTGTATCCTGAGTTGATGCAAATTGGGACTTGCAGAGAATTACGTTTTTGGAGCAATGTTAGTACTTTCCTCCCTGGCTTCCCGACTGTTTTAGTTGGATATGACAAGAATGAGCTGATCCATGTGACCAACTTTCACATCGAGGAAGTGCTTGTGTATTTCACCAGAGAAGTGGGAAGACGACTTAGCTCAGAAGGATATTATAGAAATATAATCCTAGAGAATTAGGGAAACACGATGATCCTGGGTAAGGACTCTGTCCTTACCATTTGGCCTTGCTTTTGTGTTCATATACATAATGTTCAAGGCCAATATATATAAATGTCCACTATTCCTTTTTTCAATTCCAAAATCCAGAAAGCTCTGAAAGCAAAAATGTTTTCTCATAACCTTTTAGGTTAACAAACCTCAGCTGACCTGAACTCTGTTGGTGAAACAGATTTTTTATAGTCTTTATCCTGATTGGCATACATAATTACACATTGTGTTCCAGAAATACTGTTGAATTATGGAGTACTGGCCCAAACCCCTATGCAATGTTATGTAATATAACTTATTTTTCTGAAAACTGAGAAATTCTGATTTTTGTAAGACATAGGCACAAAGATTTTAGAGCAGGGATTGTGGACCTGTGTGTAGTGGAGTTTTTAAAGCTCACAGTAACGTTAACCTCCCCGTACCTCCCAGAAGAAATGCCTAGAGAGGGGCACATGTCACAGCAGTGAAGTCCGCCACTATTAGACTGACAATTACCCCACCCAGGGACTTCTTTCTCCCACTGCCAAGTGGAAGTCATAAATGTCTCTCCCAGATAGAGGAGAAAATGGCAGCTTGGTTTGCTGATGGTAACTCTCTGTCATAGGATGAAAACCGACCTGGAAATCAGCAGCAATTTGGCCTGATGGAAGACTGAATCACAGGCAATACACTGGGGAGAACTATCACAGAAGAACTAAAGTCAAAAGAGCTAGGAACTAAAGGCTGTGAGGATTGTTAGAGATTCCTGGGCTGTGCTCCCCCACTCCCTGCAGCCACGTAGCCTGGCAGGTGTGCCTGGGGCAGTTCAAAGTGATCAGTATGGAGAGCCAAGTGTGATTAGCCATTTGCTCACCAACAGGTTCCAGCAGTAGAGTC